CCTCCATGATGGGCTGCCGCATCAATCTGAGAGAAGAGCCAGTCGTGCGGTGCTGATTTGATTTGGAATATCTCGGGTGGGAGTGGTACCTCAATATCGTTGGCACCTTTCTTATCCAAACGATCCGACCATCCCTTTGATAAAATGCATCTTACGTCGGCCTTGATGATAGAATCCCTTACTGTTCTAGTCAAAGCTGCAGAATCTGGCACAACAATTGATCCAAACCCGACATATACTAGTCGTTTGCCATCTGCGCGGGCCTTGGCGATGAAATCTGTAAGATCTTTGGGTGGTGTATAATTTGAGCTTTCATTCAAAAACCAGTAGCCAGTGACTCTGATCCAATCGCTATAATCAAGAGGTGGTACCACAACCGAAGGGCTAAAATTATACAAGAATGGAACCTTGTTGGGTTGCATCTTTTCTAAATTCGTGGCTTGTAAACCTAGCTCTTTGTGTCTCCAACGATTCACCTGTCCAGAAATGGCAGTCCAAAAGACCTTATCAAACAAAATGTATGACAAGTAGTTATAGGCGCCACCATATTTGTGCTCGGGAACAGCGAATGCGTGAGGATAAGCTCTTGTTCTTGTCCATGGCATGGTGAAAGCTCGGAAATATGGGATTCGAAGAGCTTCCGCGATGTGAATTCCACCCATTGCACTGGGGCTTTCAATCAAGACATCAGAATTTTGACAGGCCTTCCACGACGAGCTGAGTAAATCATCTATCCAACCACGAAATTTCGATGATGCTTCTTTCAAGAACGAGACCGTGAACATTCCGTTATCGACACAAATGCGCATCAATTCGGCCGGATCGCCATCAACTGGTGCAAATTCAATATTGTGCGACTCAACCCAGTCTTTAAATTCTAAGTGAGTGGCTATCTTCGTCTTATGACCTTCCGCCATCAAGCCCTTGCATAGAGCAATGTAAGGCTGAACATCACCACGAGAGCCAATGGTCAAGCAAGTGATACGCAGCGACTCTGTCGGTTTGAAATTCAATATCGAAGCTCTCGGATCGTCGAACAGTATTGGCGGCGATCCAGTATCGCCTACCTTTGGAGTACCGATATCACTGACATCATTTTCAGAATGAAGCACATGCCGTGCTTGAATTAGAGCTTGATTTTCAGCACTAGCCACCTCTGCACTTTCGCGTTCCTCCATGGTCAAGAGCCCAGACTCGTCCATATACTTTATTGTCTCTATATTCTGCAAAAGAGTTACTAGACAGTCATCTCGATCCTCAGCTAAAGCGAATTCGAAGAATATCTCCGCATGTCCTCGGATAGTGACTACAAGCCCCGAGTATCCAAATCTAGATGATGTCTCCTTTTCGACGTTTTCAATATCTTTCAAAGGAATGATGATTTTAGTCTTTATGGTCGGTATCAGACTTCGATAACAGAAAGATCTATCACTGAGGTAAATCTTGCCATATAGAAAGGCAAGTCGTTGCCAAGAGCAAAAGTATGCGGCATGGAGCTTCTCGTCGGGAGGCAAGGCGAAGTGTTGACGGAATCGCTCTGCGTGTGTAACACCATCGCGGTTATCATCATCGTTTTTCATGTTAGACATTTCGTCATCACGTGGCAATCCATGGGATTCTTCATAGTGCATCTTGCCCCCTTTCCACATGCCTGAGACCTTTTCCACATATCCCATAGACTCAGTTGCCAGTAATGAGCTCATCTTCTTCGAGTGTCTATTTAGATAGCCGGCGAAACCTGCAGCTCGTTGCAAAGGATAAGATCCAGCCTTGACAATGCTTTGTAATGAAGGGCCAGATGATATTGCTCCTTGCCTGGCGTCTGAGTCGCCCATGGAACCTGTGGTAGCAGCATGTTTGGGTTTCTCAGGTCGGTAAGTTCGTGTTGGAGAAACATCTGCGGATCTTCTTGGAGAGGTAAGAGGGCGAGACTCTGGACTCTGAAAATCATCCTTATTGTTGCCACGTCGCGATGAAGGCGAGCGTTGTATGGTGGGTGATAAAAATACATCGCTGCCTCGAAGTATCTGACTAGCAGAAGCTTGATTCTCATCACTTGCTGATGGCAAAGCTTCATATGACCCCGGTTCATCCAGAGAATGGACATATGAATCAGAAGACCCTTCCTTGGACGTACCCTTCTCGCGACTCAAGCGATTAGTACTAAGGCTACGTCTCGTACTGATGCTATTGGCACTGGTGCTTCTACGACTTTTCGTCTGAAATCGATTCAGGTCTATGCTACTTCGACCGTGCTTGTTGAGATCTATGCTCCTACGAAATACATCCGAACTTGAACGACTCATATCTGTGCTAGCACGAGGACTACCGGGTCCTGGAGAGAGTAACGGCGATAAGGTTGCTCTGACATTCTCTTCTAAAGCTGGTGTCGTGGTTTGAATGGGAGGAACCTGAGGTTTTCTGTTGTGGCTCATGTGGATCGACGTACGCTTGGAGCTGTTGTGGCTATCGTCCACTGTTGATGGTGACAAAAGGTCCTGTGCCAATTTCTGCGCAGTTGTATCTTCGACAAGGATTTTGAGTACATTCAAAGCTTCCTGGCCGTTGGTAAAAAATGAGAAGAAGTACTAGACAAGGTCGTTAGCGTTTTACTGAATTGAATTCTGAATCACTAACCTCATCGATTGCAAAACTCTCATCATTGTCAATGACGCGTATCTTGCAGGTGTCGGCAAAATCGACGATTTGACTGTCCTCGATATCGATAATATTCTCAATGGGTAACGAGATCTTGACACTATCGCCATCATTATGAGACCGGAATATTATCTTCTGTAAGGCTTTCACCCATTCCTTTGCAGAAGGGGCACTATCGGCATTGAAGTGATATTTTCTCTGATGTGTCTCGACGGTGAAATGTGTCGAGTCTTTCCCCTTCCCCTTTTCCGTAATACTTGCTGAAATTCCATATCTCAAGTCAATATTGCCTCTTGGAAAATATAAATCGGCTTGGTTGGTGTAATATGAAAGAACGTCGCCCTTCAACCGGAACCAATATCTATTGTACTTTGGATTGTGTTGGCCCGATTTCGATAGATATCCTGATTTGACGACTTCATGCTAAAAGAGCGTTAGCGAATTGAGAAGGCAATCCACAAGACATAAAGTCAACAACATACGGATTTCTTTGGTAAGTAGGCATAGAAGCAGATGTGCTTAGATGTGATGTACATATAACCTTGGACCAATACACTTTTCATTAGCCAGCAAGGATATTCTAAAACAATTAGTATTTGCTTGCATAATGCGGGAAAGTAAAGAACTTACCCTCTATTACTTCTTCAGGAGTTTCGAACTTGTAGATCTCCCTCAGCTTCTTTGCTAGACTTGTCGATGGCGTCTCCTCATCTTCATCAATCTCTGTAAGGTCTTTTGAACTTCGAGGCATGTCGAAACTGGGTCGCAAAGCTAATTTAGCTTGGGCATCCAACATTCTGCTCATGACCGGTGCGTCTCTTGGTTGAAGTTGTGGAGATTTTAAATCAGGTGTGGTAGATTCTTGAGGAGAATCGCGTGCTGGTGACGGCGTACGGCTACGGCTACCTTGAGTGACGGTGTTTGATGATTTAGACTTGGACTTGGAACCTAGTCGCGAGAATGATCGAATCAACTTGCTCTCTGAGAATTTCCTTCTATGCCTTTCCGATTTCCCTCCCTTTTGATCTATGCTGTCATAATTTATGTGCGACTCGGAACTCTGTCGTGTAGGCTTCCTCGAATCATCTTCTTCGTCGTCGCTGGATTGCGCATCAAATCTGGCATTGAAATCAACTTTCGGGCCAACAGCCGCGGTAATCATACCAAAGACAGATTGATTCATGGCATTAGGGGCCGTATAATCGTCATCCGCATCGTCGCCGTCTTGAAAGCGCTCAGGGAGTTCCATAGTTGCTTGGTGGCCTTCATTCCTTCTCTTCGTCAACTTTCTAGCGACCCTCTTCTTTAACTCATCTTCCGGAGCCATGTTGGCAATAACTTTTCGTCGTTGGTATGGAAAACCAACCACTCGAGTTGTTTTGATGTTTGTACAAATCGTCAAGAATCCAACGACGTTAGGATCTCAGGCGGTATCGATAAGGGTGGCTTAGGCTCCTTCAGAGTAAGCTATGCCCTAAAAGTTGAATGATGGGCGATTAGAGTTTGAATCACATGTAATTAAATAAAGTTGATCATCAGGTCTTCTTGGACTCAGTATGGTTAGTAAGGGATTTATTAGTAGGCAGAGAGAGACAATTCACGGGTGGATGATGAATCACCAGTTGTTTAAGGATTTGATGCGATGGCAGTGAGTGTTTGTAGGCAACGAAGGAAGGAAGTGATTAAGTGAAATACGTAAGTAAGTACTAGGTAGCTATTCAGGACGAGGTATCTCACAGCATGGCAATGTTGAGCGAGCTCGGTTTCTTCGGTGGCGTGTCTTGTTGTGGGGGAAACCTACCTAAGTATCTACTGGGTATCTCTATCTTGACTGGTGGACCTATCCTATCTATCTATTATCGTATCGAGGAGATCACAATGCGACGATCTGATTCTCTTTAAGTGGGTAATATGACAACATAATACAGTAAGTCACAATCGAAGGAGCTGGGGAAACAGTCTCTCTAGGTGTGAAAATGATTGTAACATTGGCTATTTTATTGAGAAATATATGTATCATATGTATTTATATTCGATTCCTTTGTCTTGATTACTTCATAGATACCTAGTAGGTAGGCACGATGTAGATACCTAGTAGGTACTAGATAGGCATTATCAGGAGTTGGACTCAGACATATTCCATGCATCCATCTATCTACCAGTTATCGTAGGTAGGTAGGTATTTACGACTCCATAACCCAGACAATTCTACGATAATCGAGCGCAGCGAGGACGGGGGTTTGGGGGCTTGCCCCCATAAAAGAACATATAAAAAAGGTTATCACCCAATAGTAATAAATCTCGAAGAATAACAAATTATCATAAATTGCCCAAAATATCATACCAGGCAGGTATTCATTTTGATAAGGATGAACGGATCGGTTGCTTCATTAAATTCTTCTATAACTTCGCTTTAATAACGCTCAATATAAATCCATCGTTGAACCCCCAAAGTACTCATCATACTATACAATATTCAAACAAGACCTAACTTATCATTCAAGTAAAATGCGTCCATCACATCCAAAGACACAGTTTCCCTGATGCCGTACCACCTGCAACCCAGTCCTTTGTAGGGTGGAATTGTGCAGCAGCTGGAACCGCTGTTATGAGACCATCACCCCCCAATTGCGCTAATTGTTCTCCATCGGCTGAATAAACATCACAAAACCTATTCATATTGCCAATCACAAATTTCTGAATTCCATCTTCAGGTTTCTCTTGCCAGTGAGGCTTTAAGATAGTCACCCACCGTCCAGTTTGGTTATTGTGCTTGATAATAGTCGTAGGTTTCATCGCTTCATCATCGAGTGAATGACCTGCCTTGAAAGAGCCGACATCGAGGAATGAATGAATCTTAATAGTATCATCATATGAAGAAGTTGCAACATGACCAGCAGGGGACCATGAAGCATGAGATACCGAAAGCCTAGACTCATGCTCACCAAGTAAAACTGGGTGTCTTGAATCACCTGTCCCTGTAATTTTCCGTAAATCCCAAATTTTCAGCATTCTATCTAATGATGCCGTAGCCACCAAATGAGGATGCAATGGATGAAGAGAGAATCCGCCTATTTTTTTATCAGAAAGGTACCAAATTTCACTTTTGGATGGAGTCCGCATATCATGGCGTCCAAATCGACCGTCCAGAGTAGAAAAGCACAATAGATTCGGATCAGTGGATGGTATGGCAATGCTAGATATAGGGATATCTTCATCTAGAGAATCTGGGGCAAATGCCTCAACAGCTACCCCTTTCTGTAGGTCTAGTTTTCGCACTGAAGAGTCATATGAAGCCGAATATAGCGAATTTCCGTCTGCGCCAAACACGAAAGAAGAGATTGACCTAGAATGTATCTTGAAGGCAGTAATGGCTGGCTCTGAGTCCTCTTCGTCGTCGTCGTCGTCTTCTGTTTTCACTCCAGGACCTTGTTGTGAAGCATCGAACAGTCCAACGTTTCCCAGTTTATCTCCAGCAAATATTAAAGGCTTGTCTACTGTTGGATGAAATCCTAGAGCGTATATTCTTTCGGGTGTAATTTTAATTTCTGGAGACTGAGTTAGCACTAGAATATTCCTTGAAAGAACCAAGTCTTACGATTGGGCTCATAAGGTTCATATAGTTGTAACCCGCTCATCTTCTCCCTCAAAGCCTTCAACCCTTCATCTGTTGTCTCTTTGATATCATCTTCGGTGAAGGTTCTCAAATTCGGCTGAGCGCCACGCATGACTCCAGATAGAAATCCATTCTCTTGCTTCCATTTCTTTCCCTCAACAATAATATCATTGACATTTATATCTCCTGCGACTCGCTGCCTCTTAGCTTGTGAAACCTCCTTCGCAAATTCTTGTTCAACCTCTGCTTTGCGCTTAGCAGTCTCACTATCAGCTTCAATACCAGCCAGACGTGAACTTGTACGGGTTGGTCTAGGGGCTTCTTTTTTTATGGGAGTTGCTCTCTTTCTAGGGGTTGCTGATTTTGGTTTTGGTGGTGGTTTTGGGACGATTTTCTGTGCTGTTGTACTAAGGTCTTTTAACATTGCTTGATTTGCCGCAATATTTTCGAGTCTTCGGCGCTCGAAGGCACTCATCTCTGGCTTTTCCTTTCTGTTTGGAGCCATGTTGTGGATTTTTCTTGTGGATTGTTGGTCTGAGAAGACTCAATGGCAGAATGGAGGGTTTACCAAACAATGCAGGGTCAATTTAATTCATGAAGTCATTTCAATTAACGCGTCTCTCTCAATTGATGAAACCGCGTCGCGATCGATTTAAAATAGTCCGTGCCCAATTTTTCGTCCATAGAAAACTTGCGGAAAAATTATGAGGGGTGGAATAGAAATTCGAATGTTCGAGCGTTCAATATTTTCCTTTCTTTAAGCAACTGCGAGATCCATCATCAGGCATTAAAAGCTGGATTCAAATCTTGACCTATTGATCGCATAAGTTGCTTTATGTGCAATAACCAGTCATGGCATCCATAAAAGTCGTTGAAGCTTTTCCAATTGCATATTCAACTATGTCCTCCACAATGATGCCATTTTTATACCAAACTAGGACAATCGCAGGCCTACATAGGTCTATTTACAGTAAAAAATATCGAAGCAGGGTTTTACCTTTGATTCAGGGAGCAAACTTTCACACCTCTTTACCTCGAGTCAAATACGAATCGCAAAACGGAAATTATGATGGCGAGGATGACACTGGGCCTCAAATCAGGAGGAGGGCTACTTCTTCTAGGGGTGGTCATTCTCATAGATCTAGATTTCGTCCAAGGATGGTCGCCGATGAGTACAAATTCAATCTCGAAAAGAGTGAACTGGAATCGGAAGGCAACATCGCACAGTCCGGGGACATTGGCTTTGAGGACGATGACCAAACCTTGATAGAATATGGCACAGAAATCGATGCATTGGCAAGTCCGCACTATCCGCAGCGCGAGTCCACGATTACAGATTCGGAAAGGCACACGTTCAATCGTATATTCACAGATATTTTCGCGCGAACTCAAAGGACGTCTTTGGAAGACATCGATGATGGCATGGAAGAAATGCCTCCAACAAACAGGGAAAATGCGCGCAACAAGCTTGACAATATAATGGAGCATTCACTATCAAACAAAAAACATCGAAGCAAGAAGGAACAAAAAGCCGAAATCAATAGATACCCACCAGCTCTTCGTGCCGCAGCTGCTAGAGCGATTGGTCTTGTTCTAGAAGAGGAACCAGAACCTACAATGGAAAATCCGGAACTAGAACTTGATGCACAGGAACATTTGCGAGAACCTGAACGTCAACGAGTTGAGGGTTTGTTGCGCAATGCCAATACGGATTTTGAGCTCTGGGATGTTCTGGAAAAGGAAGTGTTCCCACTTGTTGCCAAAATGGGCCTAGCGGAGACAAAAGAGAGCCGAGATCAGCTGAGAAGAGGAATAGAAGACTCTGGCGTTCTTCCAGTTGAAGAGGATCCCACTGCTGCTAAAAACACCGAGCCTGAGATTTCTCCACTAGCATTGTATGGCCCCCTCTACCCATCGCACCTTCTCCTTGGCCTACGTCTGCTCGACCGAGGGTTCAGCAAACCCTCCCAGCTTTCTCTCTCTATCCTTCCACGGATCAAGTCTTTTGGTCTACTCTCCCATGTCTTGGGCGCCTCTACACCTCTTTACAATGAGCTTCTACGTGTTTACTGGATACGATACGACGACTTTCGAACTTGTATAGACTTACTAAACGAGATGGAACACGCGGGTCTCGAGTTTGATTCGGAGACGTATGAGATTGTTCATAGTATTCTAAAAATCAGGGCTTTCGTATGGAAGGGGGACGCAGGCCGGAATAAGATACCCATGTGGTCTTTGCCAGAGTTTCAAAGGTCTCGCCATCTTGAGTTTTGGCAGGAAAAGATTGGAAGAGTATTGAAAATGAAGGAGAAAGGAGGAATGGTTTAGGTCAATGAATTGAAAGAAATGGATGTGCACTATAATTATTCGTTACTGATCAGTCCACTCAAATAACTTGAATTTGTATTTCACACTTTTATCATTCCTCTTTCTGGCTCAAATTAAACACATGCTTCTGGTGGAAATGCTCTAATAAGATCTTATTGGTCGTGATAAAGTTATTTAGCTAGTGGCGCTGACTAAGAAACGCGGTCTCTTGATAAACAATGTTGAACCATGAGGTGAACTGTTTCCTTCTCACACGGAATGTATCGCAATTGCTCATTGTCTATCCATGAGTACAGATAACAGGTTCGATTCCGATTTTAAGGACAGGTAATATGATCTAGTTACCCTCTCCTGGGAATTCTCCTATGTAATTGATTTGTTGCTCTTGCATACACACACTGTCTTTACTGCTTTCTTTATGCAGAGCTAGTTCCAACCACCTACTGCAATCACTCTTTTGTCCTTTGTGTTTTGCAACCCCAATTGTCATTTCTGGAATTCCTAAACGTGGTGGAATTAAAGGCTGTCAGATATTTTTGGGCGCCTTCATGTATACCTGATGTATATCTAAGAAAATCAAATACTTTTCTTAACAGCAATCAAAAATTTCTTATGTTCTATTAGGCGCGCCTAAAACATTCAACATATGATGCCGCCCAGATGCTGGATACCAACAGAAGGAGGTGAGCTATTCCTCTTTTGTCAAATCCTCTGAAAGTGAAGTGAATACTGAGGAAATCATCAGAAACTTCATCTTCAACCTTGATAAACTCGATAGAAAGCTCTGCTAGCTCCATTTTGAGCCCTTCAAGTAATTTCAAAGCAGATACCGTCTCTCAACCTTCAACTACAGATGCCCGCAATCACTCACAACAGCATCAGAGCCTTCAATCTAGCAACTCTGGCTCAAGTTCTTTGCAAACAATGCCTCATTTTGACAGCTTCATCAGAGGTCAATCAAATTCGACTGATGATTCCGAATTATTACAACAACAAATTGTTGCAGGGCAGCTCATCCTCGACCAGATACCACCTACAGATACTGACAGACAAGTCGCAAGTCCATGCCAAATGAGTAGAGTTGGTACTATACGGCCAACCGAACTCATTTATCCTAAGTCACTGTACCATGGCTATGTCCCTCCTTTGCCTGCAAGCAAAGAGCATCAAGCATGCTCGGCTTTATTGCGGGAACTCAGGAACAAAGACATGACCGAGATGTCGTCGACGCAGGAAGATTTTGTGGAATTTGAGTTGGCCGAATTTTCGATTTACATGCCTGACACTGCTCTCTATGGGCATGAGCTGCGTGGTCTACAAGACCTTGCTAGTAAAATGGGCCATTCATGTTTCCTACTCGACGGTGTTCTCAGTGTCGGAAACTCTCGACACTATGTTCAAGGCGTACCATTCAAAGTATGCTCAATTGGAAATTACGGCGAAGAATTTGATGATGTTGATGGTGCTATATGGCTTCAGTCTGATCTCAACATAAGAACGAATATTTACTATCGACTTAAGAAGCCCGCATCGGAATATGCCCGTTTCCATCTTGGCTTTTCATGGTTGGCTAATCTGTCGAAGCATTTTGTCGACTACTCTTTAGCATGTCAGAAGCAAAAGAAGAAGGTATCGATCCACAACTTCCGGGCAGACTTTGCGCAGTGGTGCCAAAAGATACATACAGACTCATCAAAATTTCAATCTTGGTACCTCGAATATGGCCGAGATGATTTCAGACAAGCCATCTCAGCAAACATAAACTTTCTGTTCAAGGAATCGATGGGTGTAACGTCAAGACTTCGCTCATTGTATATCTGGGAGGAAACTTTGGAACTTACAAGCATTAAAGAATACCCGATCAAAGAGAATAAGACAATCGTCACGCCATACGTTTATGAATGCTTCAGTCACCTAAGATTTGGTCACCTACTCAAGCCTCTGATACCGACTATATTTGCAGAGAATTTAAAAGAACCAGAGGATCAATCACTATCGCTTTCGCCGAGAAAAACACGCATTGTTTGTGAATCCACTCTGCCATTCAAGCCTCAACATAAATTCTTCGCTGGTGGTAAAGCCAATCTGGGAGCCGGAATGAGCCAGAATGGGGGTGTGAAACGGCAGCAGATGCTTGATGCTATCAAAATTGGAGATGTATTATCAGTCACCAAGGATGGACCAAGTTCTGTGTGGAAAGACGAATCCAGCAAATGGAAAACAGAAGACGATTGTTGGTATTTCTATGTACAGATCAAGCATCAAAGTCCTCGTGGCAATTACTCTTTCGATGGTATTTGGCTTTATAAGCCTTCTGATACTAGTTGTGCAAAGATGAAGTATCCATATGCCAAAGAATTGTTTCTCAGTGACAACTGTACCTGTGGGTCTCGGGATTCCCGGATAACCCATGACGAAGTCATTGATATCATCCCTATAATCTGGCATGGTCTACCATCAGAAACAGACATCTTCATTCGTCAGACGTATCTCAACCACGAGAGTTTTGTAACATTAAAAGATTCACACAAAACATGTGAACATTTGCGAAAGTCCGATGAAGATTCACCATCGCCAGCCACGATTGTTGATCGCTTTCCTGTTGGACAGACGGTACTTACATTACCCCCTCGACGTGAGTCGAAAAACAATCTAGAGCCTTATGAGATTGTAGGATACGTAGAAGAAATCTCTAAGTTAAATGTCAGATTGAGGAGACTCATGAGAAGATCGGAGATTGATCATACTGTGTCTTGTAGACCAAATGAGCTTGTATACACTAATGCAATAGATACAATGTCAGCGCATAAACTCGAAAGAACTTGTCTTGTACGATTTTATACTGAGAAGCAAGTCTCAAGTGGCAATGTTCCAGCACCTTACTGTAGAGATGGAGGCTCGAATGCCTTCATCATTACGAAGCGATTATGTGAGGATAATCAGACACTGATACCAATAGAAAGTGATACACCCCAAAGCCTTATTCAAGGTTTTGATCCCGAAGCACCGCTGAAACGAAGAGTTTTGAATGGACTCGATCTCTTCTGTGGTGGTGGCAATTTCGGCCGTGGGTTGGAAGAGAGCGGTGTATTGCATAACAAATGGGCTGTCGATTTGTTCTCAGCTGCAGTGCAAACATATGCTGCTAATTTAAAGAACCCTGGGGAAACCGACATATACTTTGGTTCAGTCAACGATTTACTAGCAGAGGCTTTTGTTGGCAACCCCCAATTACTCAAAATTCCTCTACCGGGCGATGTTGATGTCATCATGGCTGGTAGTCCTTGCCAAGGTTTTAGCAGAATGAATACGTACAAAGGCAATGATAAGAGTCTACGGAATCAATCCCTGGTCGCATCTGTTGCTGCCTATATTGATTTTTATCGTCCCAAGTACGGATTGCTAGAAAATGTCTTGAACATGGCTCAGAAAGGATTGGGACGAGACGAAGATGTTCTCTCTCAACTTATATGCGCCATCGTCGGTCTTGGATACCAGTTACAGCTTTTCTTACTCGATTCATGGAGTTTTGGTAGCTCCCAGTCACGAAGTCGAATATTTGTCTCATTTGCAGCCCCCGGTTGTGTTCCACTTAAGCATCCAGACCTTTCTCACTCACACCCGCCACACGTTGGCGAACGTGGGCTTGGTAAATTAGCAAATGGTCAATCATTTGGTAGTCGAGTTCATTGTCCCACTCCATTTCAGTATCGCACTGCTGAAAAATCTATAGCTGACCTTCCTTACATTGGAGATGGAGCGACTGGTCACTGCATAAAATATCCGGATCATGTTTCACCTATTACCTTGTCCAAAAAATATCGTTCACAAATCGCATGCATTCCGACTCATCCACGAGGTATGAGTTTTTCAAAGGCATGGAATGAGGGCAATGGTATAATGACTAAAGAAGAACGAGACATTTTTCCATATCTTGCCAAGTCAGGGAAAATTAGAGAAAGCGTTTTAAAAGGTTCTAGAGCCTGGGGAAGGATAAAGCCTCACGGACTATTTCCAACTGTACTGGTGGTAGTGAACATGGAGGATAGCCGCATGGGAACGATTTTGCATTGGGACCAACATAGACGCTTGACATTAATGGAACTCCGTCGTGCGCAAAGCTTTCCTGATGATGAGGTAATCATTGGTAAAAGAGGGGAACAAATCAAAATAATCGGGAATAGTGTTGATAGGACTGTTTCCATGGCATTGGGAATCTCTCTACGAAACGCTTGGCTAGAGTGTTCACCTGAAGTTGATATGCCTACAAGAATTGTGAGAACTCAAACATCTATAGTCGCCAGGGAGAGATCTTTGGAGATTCCAGGTAATACGGATTCTACTACTTTGGAAGTTATTCTAAGTCAACGTCCAAAAGTTAAACCATATGATTTGGAGGCGCGAAACGGTGTATCGAACGGTACTCTTGCGTTTTACTCGAGCTCATCGAACTCAGCTGGTTCAAGTGTGTCTGGTTTTGACGAATCGGGTTCAATTGATAGCATTCAAAAATTTCGAGGCGGCATGTCCAAAATACAAAAAAAGCGACAGTTGATTGACCATGCCAATGAACCCGCTCGTAAATCTCCAAAGCTGAGCTCAGCAGGGAATCTTTCATCAAGATCAAGAGAATCTGTTGCAAATTCAACCTTCAATTCCAATACGCTTTTGAAGTCCAACTTTGCAAAACGTTCCGGTCCGAGAAATATTGCCACACCAAAAAGTGTTTCTCCCGATTTATATTCAGCATCACCTCCTCCGCAAATCAATTCTCCCTATCAAACAGACACGCCTAATATAACGAATCATTCAAACAAGCATTCATTTTTTCCACAAGACAATCCTGTCACAATAGATGGCAATGATGACGACTACGAAGATACCATCTGGGTAGATTCCGGACCACGCGCCTCAACTCTTCTCCATCGAACCCCTCATTCCCGCACCACTACATCCAAAATTTCTAGGATTCTCAATACCTCCTCATCAAAATCTTCACAACGAAAAAAACGCTCTCAATTCATCGATCTTACGAAATCCGACAGCGAAGATCAAGCTCCTGTGCCACGATCCTCGTTCCAGATAGTAATTCCGGCTCCTGTGAAAATAAAAGAACATGATGATTCTTTGTATTCGGATTTTCGTACACGAGAGAGTAGACTCGGATCTGGAATAGGGAATAGTTATGTAGCGGTGGATAATAGTCAGTTTGATGCGTATGCGCAAACTAAGCGCACGATGGAGAATATGGATGATAGGTAGGATGGTATGGTATGGTGGGGGTGAAGATGGAGGGGGGGGAATTTAGAGAGGGGTAGAGGGAATAGAAGGGAAGGGCAATATGGGAGAGGAATGGAAAAGGGCTATCTCAATTGTAATAAAAGCACTGTTGGAAATTGTACATAGAGGGAGGATGAGAGTATTACTTTGAGCTCGCATCCATCATATCATCGGGTAATAGGTTTTATTAGATCGCATTGGATTTTGAGGGCGTTACATCTTGTTTGATTTAATAACGATGTAAAGTATTTAGGTACAGTACTAGGGCACAGATAGTAGCCGATCACCTAAATCACACCAAAAAATAGCGATTTACTATGTTTTGAATATTATATTATTAATATTTATAATAGGTTTTTTAAATTGGATTTATATATATATATTATCTATATAGTAATAATTTATAATTTTAATTTTTTTGTATTCTTATATAATTTATTAAATCATAAATCTGCTATTAAAATAATAACTTATAAGAATTCTTTAGATTTCGCTTATTTTATTAGTAAGTTCTAAAATTCCTCAACTATTATATTTCAAATCTATATAATATAATCAATAAACATTTCAAAAATAAATTGTTCATTTTTCTGAAATCTGTTATTGAAAATGAGTAAGATTGTAGAAATATATATTACAAATTTATATTCAATTGTATTAAAGTTTATTAGTTTTAATAATGAATTTTGGTGTGATTTAGGTGATCGGCTACTATCTGTGCCCGGTAACTGTATCTAGGGATTTTCGTAATTTGATTGTATTAATATTATCTTATTTCTATATAGTCTTTCCCATGCGATCTCAAGACTGGAATTCAAAGCGTTCGCTTGAGTGAGTCACTTAGACTTTATACTTTATTCGCTACTTTCTACTTCTACTTTCTACTCCTCTATGTTTCTTACTTTCTTTGGGTACTCTTTCTCTCGACTCTCTACTTCTATTTTCTACTCTCTACTTTCTACTCTCTACTCTCTACTCTCTAGCTCTACTCTCTACTCTCTATTTTCTACTTCTCAATTCTAATTCCCAATTCCCAATTCCAATTCCCATCCCAATTCCCAATTCCCTATTTTGAAATAAATAACCTTAACCTATCTTAACCTACCCTACCCTATTCTACTTACTATCTAATCAATATCTACTCCTACTCCCTACTCCCTACTCCCTACTCCCTACTCCCTACTCCCTATTCCTAGTCCCTACTCCCTACTCCCTACCTACTCCCTACCTACTCCCTACCTACTCCCTACTCCCTACTCCCTATTCCCTACTTACTCTCTACCTACTCCCCAATCAATCAATCCAAAAATCAATCCAAAAATCAATCCAAAAATCAATCAAAAATCAATCAAAAATTCAATCCAAAAATCAATCAAAAAATCCAAACAAGAACAACCTATAAATTTTAAATCTTCCTTTCCTACCTACCTACCTACCTACCTACCTATCTACCTATCTAGATATTCACAAAACCCAAATCCATTTATTCAAAATCAAATCAAATCAAATCAAATCAAATGCTCAATTCGCAAATTCGCAAATTCGAAATTCGATTTCATCCTATCCTATCCTATCCTATCTGGTATATTCTTCATCCCATCCCATCCCATCCCATTCCATCTCCTAAATATTTACTTAACAAAACTTCCAAATCTCAATCCCAAACCAACCCCCCCCCCTCCCTCTGCCTCTCCCTACCCACCCAAATATAAATATAAAAACAAGGTTTGAATCACAAGTACGACATAGAATAGATATCTCAATGAACATCTCGAATGTATAAATAAAATAAGTACTATTAGGGTATGTATGATATGTTGCTATTTTAACACGGATATAAGACAAGATATAAGACACCCCGGAACCCATGGTTCATTCCAATCCATTCAACCGATGCTGCAAAAAAAAAAAACGAAAAAAAAAAAACTCCAAGATTATCAGCGAACCCACCAAAACCCACCCCTCTCAACCCATCAGAAATGACAAAAGAAATGTGTAAGGATTGGAAATCAAGTAAATAAGTTTCGAAAGCTTTTAAAATAATTCGTGAAGTCGTTAAGTTGTAGGTGGTATATGTTTTGTAGGCGAGTAGGGGGTTGATCACTTGGCCTCCCCAATAATATCGGTAGGACCAATTTCTTCCCCGGTCAAGATCCGATTGATCTCATCATATGTGTCTTCGAATTCATCCTCGGGGATGACATCGACTTCGATATGGGAGAAGGGCGATTTTCTATCTCCCGTTCGCTCTTCCTCATCCGTGGAGTCAAAGGCGAATCTTTCTGGCGCGGGTAGATCCGTCTTTCTACTATCTCTTGAGCTTGATCTTGATCTCGATCTGTCCCTCCTCTCCTCTTTCTCCTCACTCCTATTCCTTCCCCCAATCTTCCCCGCTCCCACACCCCTGAACATCCCCTCCATAATCTTCCTCTCCACCTCTTCCTTCTCCTCACTCATCTCCAATAAACTCCTTCTCTTTCCCCTTCCCTCAATCTTGCCATCCAGAAAACATTCCCGTGGTACATCCCCCAATGGTTTCCAAATATCGTAATCCCTAACCACCCCTTCCAACCTTCTATGCCCCTCATCCGGATCCTGCAGCATTTCCATGCCCATAACATCTATAAACCCCTGCCGACTCAACATCGGCATATTAGCACCGAGCGAAATCGATCTCCGAATGCGTTCTCCCGCCGTAGGAGACGGCGACGGAGGCGGAAGATTCGACGCATGGCGTACCGAAAGCGTGTGAGAAATGTCATGCGTTTTGAAGAAAATACCCAACTCGAGGTCGGCGATCTCTTGATTTTGAGGTCCCCCGGTTGTGTAAAGTGTTTTTTGCCCTAAATAATCATATCCATATTAGTTTTTATCCTTCAACAAGTAAAAATAAATCACAAGAACCACTTAACTCTGGACCCCTTCCACCCAAAGGGTCCAAACAAAGAGGTTTGAGTAAAGTATAAAAAAACCTACAAATATTATTCTCCATCCCCACCCCCTGCATCTCCAAAAACGCACTCCACACCTCTGGACTCAATTCATTCGTGCCCTCCACATCCAAACACAAAAACATGGTCGTCATTAAATCCACAAAAATCGCATTGAATGCACCGTCCTTTTGGAAAAAGGGACTCCATTCCGATGGCATTGGGGGCGCCAGCGAGGCGTACGGATTGGTAAAGGCTTCCAATTTTATTTTCCCCTCCAACGATCCCTCAAAAGATTGCGCGGGTAAATCCGGTCGTAATTTGGTGAGGGGTGAATCTGAATAACTTATGTTGTGATTGCTAAAGCCGTCGTCATTCGGAGGTGGTTGAATGGAAAGGAGATCTCTTGGGCCCCCGCTCGAACTTTTCGGTTTCTTATTCGGTTTCACGATGTCCCACAGCGCCCCCCAATTGGCGGTTGGGAGTTCGACTTTTTTGGGCGGGGGATTGGGGGCGGTGATGTTGGTGAGGGTATCTTTTCGCGGCGGGAGAAGCGGGAGGGGACGAGGAGGAACTGGGGGAGGAACAGTGGGGGAGCTGGTCCCGCTCGTTTTGATGATGGCGGTGGGATGGCTGAGGAGATGTGTACGTGAAGTCTTTTGGATGGCGAAACAGTTGGTGCAGAGATTGTAATCGGTGCAGGTTTGGCATTGAATGCGAGCCCGGTCGGGACGGATGGGCTCTGTACAACTGGAACATTCATAGAGAGACATTATTTTGTTGTTCTTACTGGGTTTGCGGATGGATGGATGGATTGGATGGATATCCGAGGATTAATCCCCTGAAGATTGGTTGGATTTTGTTTTGATTTGTATGTGGTGTAAGTTGTGGGTAGGATGAGAGGAAGAGAAAGAGGAAGAGGAAGAGAAAGAGAAAGAGAGAGAGAATTTGATTTTAAAGTAAGTAAGTAGTCGTCGTAGTAATCAAGATGCGAATAATTTCCTATCAAATCCAGATGTTTGGTAGGGAGAAGGGCTCTTTACATATAGTAAGTAATATGTGGTAGTCGGATATTGAAGCTTTGAGTTTAGAGCGACCGGGACTTGGGACTTGAAGCTCTAGAATCTATGGTGTTTTGGGGTTAAGGTGGCTCGGGTGGTAAGGCTCTTGCTTGTGGCGGGTGGGAGGGGGTGGGAAGTGGTGGGAAGTGGTAGTGCGTGGTAGTAAGTGGTAGTAAGTGGTAGTCAGTCGTAGCAAATCGTAGCAAATCGTCTTCATTCGTAATAACAAATCGTGATAAATCGTGATAAATCGTAGCAAGCAGTCTCGAGACAATGTTTGAGAGTTTCAGAAACGTCTTGAAAGTGCTCGAGATATAATTACACTTAGCACAGGATGGCACCGGATGGCATAGTATGATACCGCAACGCATGGCAATTTTATTCGCATTGATGTTGGAATTAATGATCAGATCATTGACCCCTTAGGGGATTTTGTTCACTGAAACTCTATTCTGGAACAATGAATAGAACAAAGGCTTAATTCTGAACATGCCGAGGCTAAGAAGGATGAAGTGAAGCTTGAGATGGATAACACAACACACACACACACACATTTGGTGGGAAGGGTAGATGTTCAATCCAGAGAGATGCATTCAGAGATAGATGTTCAGAGATATTCAGAGATATTCAGTTCGATCCAAGTTGACAGATTGGTTTCTGATGGGATGGAATAATCAACCCTCGAAGTTTGAGAATAATTATGATATATAGCACAAAAGGTAGAGTAGAGGGTAGGTACTACATTATATAAAATAAAGTTCTTGATGAATTATAATATAATACATGATATATAACATATAATATACAATACATATATACACACACATATATATATTAACAAAAAGGCATATCGATACTCATCACTGTATTCTATCTCTATCTGTATTAATAATTCCTAGATATATCAACCAGAGTAACCAGTGAGAAGTAACCACGAACCACGAACCACGAACCACAAACCACGAACCACAAACCACTACTCGACTACATCTACCAAGTCCAGTCACTCACTACCTACCTCTATGGTCCATCGTAAACTCCACACTCATTACATCCAACGTTTCCTCCTTCCTTCAAATTCACCTCAGACATTCCACTCAGACATTCTCTCTCAGACATTCCTTCCACCACACAACTAAACCTCATGAATATAGATAGTTCCATGAATTGATCCAGTGTCTAATCGCCAATTTCCAAATTTCCTTCTTCCGTCTTCTCTGGGGATTCTATGACAACATCATTGTTTATCAATTCTCCATCAATGCATGTTTTGCCTCGGGGTTTAAAAAGAGAGTTTGTTGGAGATTCAGATTATCGATAAACTCGAGAAAGTACACTATCGATTTGAACTGGCGTACCGTTGAGCGGAGGGTTGTCTCGCGGTAGATTGAGTGTTTGTGTGTGCAGTGATTTCAAGGCCAACAACACTTTCTCCAATTCCAATTTCAATTCTTCCAATAGTATTGTCGTCTTGATTGTTTTCGATATAGCTTGGAAGGCGTGAGATAAGGCTTTGTGATGTGGTAGGTGTACCCTCTGCATTAAACTTTCATGGCGACGAATTACAGTATTGATTGATTGATTGCTTGATCGAAGATCATCACAGACCTTTGCGAGTAATTTCCAATGGCGAAAAGCTTAAAGGTATAGAAAGAGATAACATACCTTCTGCTTCGTTGCAGAATTGAGATCTGGGAATCTTTCCCTTCTGAATAGAATCCTCACATGGAAGTCCCCTCGTTCCCTCTCTCTACCTCTCCGCCTCTCTGCTTCTCCCTCTGTCAGCCCTCTACTAGATATGTTTGAAGAACAGACCCACAAACTGATGCGAACCACGGTGATCAGGAGGCTGAGCCGTACATAAGGCCAATAACTCGGAAAAATCCCACCGTTCAAACGGGATTGTCTTCAACGACATTAGACACGTGGTAATGTCTTGAGTATTGTTGGTTCGACGCTGCCATACAAGATTGCTTGGTAGAACATATTATTTGCATGAGAGTGAGACAGCCAAAGCAGAGACTCTGTGTGAAGTAGGAGAGAAAATAGAAAATAGAAAAATTGAGGAAGCTCTTAGAGAATACCCTACCCTAGGTACTTACATGCACGCAATCGCTAAACGCTCGAGGAATATGAAATAGTCACCGACTCACATTGTATGGATGGATGGCGCCAAATGATCGTTTGAAATATCGAACCGCGTTTACGAAACTTTGACGGAAGATTCTTTATCAATTTTTTATTAAAAATGACATAGGAGGCGTTCATCGTAATTTGATCGCAGCCAGGAAGTTCACTGCAGACTGCAGTTCATCGTATAATAATAGCCTATAATTTTGATTTTGATTGATCCGATTTTATTAGCTCGGAGCGCGAGGATGTACGATAGGTTAGATGAATGGATGCATCAGGGGTTTGCAGTGCTAACGGTAGGCGCCGAAAGTTTATGAATTCGCCGACGCTATCTTCATTGCCCAGCCCAGCATTGTATGCGTGCGCGGATAAGGCGTAATCCGTAACACGTTCATACTCAAGTATTTGTGTACAGTGGGAGAGTGGGAGAGTGGGAGAGTGGCTCCAGAGTGGGAAGGAGTCTTGAGCGAAACCATGGATGCTCGTAATGCGGCTGCAAATACCCAGTAGGTAGGTAGACTGTGCGATAGAGTCGCCTTGATCGTAGATGACTTGCTCGGAGTACATCTACTCGATACAGACACTCTTCAGAAAGTAGTTCGATCGTACTAAAGAGACCCTCAAATTCTAAGAGATACCTAGCAAGTACATACCGGTACTTACGATACATCGTAGGTGGATTTTAACTTCAAGACACCGAAATATAAATGAGGTGGAGGGATGGTATCGATGATGAGATAGAAAGAAGTGGTGCAGTGCAATCAATTTGTGAATTGGCGATGCATTTCAACTCGCAGAAGTATTATTGTGATGGAAAGGAAGAAAGAGAGAGAGAGAAAGAGTCTTGACAATAATTGAGCCTGGGCATGTTATTAACCAGCGTCTTGGGAAGAGGTAGAAAATACCACGAGAAATCACAAAATTGTTAGAACTCCCACGTGATCAATATTCAATATATTTCTTTTTCTGTTCGAAGTATTTACCCCTCCAGTTTGGATTCCAAGTCCAAGGGACTACATTAATTTGATAGTCCCTCCCTACTTCAGCCTCTCAAACACGGTCCAAATTCTGATCTTTTCTGCTTTTTGCTTGCCACAAATGCCTATTCAAGATACAATAAACGTCCATGTTTACCGGTACTCGACATTACTCGCATAGTCAGCAACTTGCTATTCCTCACTCAAGTCGACATTGGGGCCGCGGCAAACATACAAGTGGTTGTTTCACGTTGGATTTTAAAGCCGTCGACATACCTGACTGTTGACATACCATGAGTCGTGATTTCGGAGTGGATCATGAGTGAATAAGTAACCTGCCTCTTCCTTGAATGTTCCCTATAAGGTTGCTGGGAATCTCCGAGATCAACTTTACCAACCTAACAGCGCGTTTCAAGTTCAGCGAACAAGAATCGATACCTTCGATATCTTCGATCGATCGGCTCACAATGGTATGAAGCTACGAGCTTAGAAGTGAAGAGCGTATGAACATCGAACCCCTTAGGACCCCTCATGACCCTTTCTCTCAAGCTTCCGTGATGTGACAGCGGCACATGTCAACAATATATCTGATAAAGTCATATGTGCCGAAATTCTCGAAAATAAATACCGCATTCCTTAACTTGGAAGTTGGAACCTTCGACGTGATAACACAGACTGAAAATCTGCCATGTGGCATGAGCGTGTACTGACAATGCGTCAAAATTCAAGAAAGAATGACATCGGGATTGATACGAGCTATTAAATGGAGATTATCTGATTAAATATCGACCAGTGTGATTACTGATTGGCTCAAAGGATAATAGGTATCCATCTTCCTCCTCTGCTGCGTATTGTCATGATCTCCATCACGGTCAAGTCCAACTCACGATCTAGCACATGTTGCAAGCATAGTGGATGTTGATATTGAGAATTGATGATGAGAGTTTTTATTTAACTTTACCTACCATGCAAACATTTTGATGAAGCCATCAGAAGATAGATATCGAGCCAAGCCTTACCGCAACTCATTTATGAGGTCCCAATATTAATATTTTATATGCATGCACGCAATCAGAACACAATCTTGCACCGCTGGCTTGTTTACTCTGTCCTTCCTTCGGATCCTTTTTTTTAAGCATTGAGCATTAAACCTCTGAGTTGTATCTTTCTTCTAGTGGAGAAAGATTGATGCGGTTTCCCGAACGATTGGTTATCGGGTCGGAAAGGCGGTTCATTGGTTTCATACGATTCATTCATCCCATCCCTAGGTCTCCTATCTTGCTCGGCAACTAATGCAGGAATTTTTAAAGTACCTACTGTTTGACCGGGTCTAAACTCATGTTGAAAAGATGAAAATGAGTTTAATTTGCGAAAAATTGTCGTGAATGCAAGATTTAGTAATCTGATTGGTTTCGTATTTCGAATCTGTTTGAGTAGTTAGTAGCTAGTTCGCAGTTACAGGCAGTGCACACTATTCATTGTACACCAATGCATATCGAATATTTTTGGGGGATATCATATCATGTAGTTTTGAGTGGGTCAAATCACGTTAGAAGTTAGAATTTAGCTGAGAAAGGCGGAATTTGAGCGGTCTGACCTGAGCTGACTTCCCACCGATTTTTACTCCCTACGAGGTGCCTCCGCACGTATTATTTCTCGAGACATTTAACTGGGCTGAGCCGAATCAATACATCGCACGAAAAAGAGGAACCTCTTAGTTTCCTCTTTCTGAGGGTCTCACGGAAGGATCATATTGCGTAGCGAAGAACAACCAAATTCGCCATATTATGGATACAATGACGTAGATATGCTTGATAATGTGAAAACTTACCTAGGTAATATGCATTATACCCATGTGTTATTCCTTCAAACAGTTACTTTATTGATAATTAACTTTCCTTTTACAAGTATGCCGATGCAAGTAAAGTATGCAAAGAATTTCAAAAAAGGCGTTGAAAGTGTAAATCTTCTTTTTTTGAACCCTTTGAATCTTGATTTTCTCATGATCTTCAATCTAATCTACAATTTCCTGGATTTTTTGGGTTTTTTCGATACCGCAAGAGAGACAAATCAAGTAATCATATACATGTAAAGAGATAAACATGTGAACTTTCTATCTTTGTTGCGTTGTTTTGACGGTCCCATTGTCTGTCCATTGCTATCCTGTCCCTATGTGCATTTTTACCCCTTCATTTTGTGCTTTGCTTGGAATTTGAGCGAATAATATGGTGATTTTGAAAAGTAGTGCGAAGAGAAGCCGGAAGATAAGCGGACCCCTAATTCTCTAGTAGAGGTTGGTATCAAACTAATCCATTAGGATATCAACAATAGTGGAGTAAATTGATAAGATGGCATCGGTAAACCTGGCTCGTTGTGTCAGGTAACCCTACTGGTCATTATTTCCGACCTTTTTGAAGAAAAATTTGTTGTACCGAGTGGATTCTGCTTATTGTCAATGACTTATCTTCGGTCGTCGCGCTTCATAACTCAAGTGGTCGGTAGGGTAACATGTGGATTTACTCGTTGGTTTTCCCAATTTCATTCTAATCCGTTGGACACTAATGCATTGAAAATATACGGAGTACATTCCTACGATTCAAAACACTCGGTGGGTCCTATCTTAAAAGAGTAATATAATCAAGACATACCACGGCAATGCTATCTCCATTCATCATTTATATATATCACACCTATCCCTCCTTTCTTTATCTCTATATCAGACAGGTTTAACTTTCCGCCTTTTCACTTAAGAAAGGAGTGATCATATCAGTTGTGATAAGTTCATATCACAATCAATCTCCAAAGGTCCATTCAAAGTACGCCACCACGGCCCGAATGACACCTCACAAGAAATTATTATATCACGATTATTCAAGAGGCTTCTTTAAGCTTCACGGACGTCCATTCTGTCAATCTCTGGCACCAACTTGATCTACCTTTCACATTCTATACTCATAACTTTTTCAATATACATATATAATACCAAACCTTAAAACTCGTTTTACAACACCGGTAGTGAAAACCTCCTCAGATACCTCCCTCTACAACAGATATAGCAATCATGGCCATTCCATTCGGTTTCAGTTTCGGCGAGGTCATTCATGGAGTTGGAATCCTTAGAAACGCATTCACAGCAATCGACGACTCGAAAAAGGCAAACCCAGTCTTTGGGGATGTTGCACAAGTTCTATCCAACCTTCACAAGCGTCTCGACGGCATCGAGAGATTCTTGAGTGATCCATCATTTGGAGCTCAACGTGGTTTGATGATGCAAGTTATTAGTGCATGCCAACACTGTATCGAGAGATTTGTGCACCAAGGATGCAGGTTAAACGGTATCACCACCAAGGGATCTTTATGGTCTCACGAAGAATTCTCCAGAATCATCGAAAAGATCGATTGGTTGGCTTGCAGGAAGTGGGATGTATCACAGTTCAGGAAAGAACTTTCGATTCACGAGGATGCAGTATCAAGTCTATTATCGACCATGCTCAGCACCCGTGAGATGGAAAAGGGACAACTCACCCGTCAAATCAACGACATCGTTACCACCCAGCACAGAAAGGTCCGTGGATTTGGCAAGGCATCGCCGCAAGATGTAGCAGCCAGCAATGAGGTTTTGAATGCACTCACGGTCATCAATCCACTTATTGGAAGAAGAGAAATCGAAGCTCGTACGGATCGTCTCTTGAGTAAATCATGCGACTGGATCCTCAACAACAAGAGTTACAAGTCTGTGATTGAGAGTGATCAATCTGACTTGCTGTGGGTTCATGGACAAGCAGGAAAGGGTAAAACCATGCTTTCTATGTACCTTGTCGACACACTCTCCAAACAGGTCGCTCAAAACCCTTGTGACCAAATTGCCTACTTTTTCTGCGACAACAACACAGATCAAAGAAACTCAACATTACATGCGCTCAAGACCGTTCTTCATCAAGTTCTGAAACAAAGCTCTCGAAATGTGTTGTTGGAAGACTTCAAACGTCATGGACCTCAAATGTTTTCCACCATCGAAGGAGTTTGGACTGCTTTGACACGAGTACTCGAAGCTTCGACCACACGAAACCTCTACCTGATCATCGATGGTCTCGATGAATGCACCGAGGAATCTTTGGATGTTTTCCTCAAGCTCGCTAGTACATACATTGCGTCCAACGTCGACGGACTTTGCAATGTCAAATGGATCTTTACTAGTCGAAATGAAACAAAGATCGAGGAGTACTTGAAGTTATCCTGGGTCGTAGACTTGGAAGAGTCCGCCACTGAGATGAGCAAGGCTGTCGATACATTCATCACTCACAAGGTTGACATCTTGGCTACCAAGAAGAGATTTGATGCACCATTGAAACAATTTGTCGCTGATAAATTGAGGGCGAAAGCTGAAGGAAATTTCCTTTTCATCTCTCTTGCTTGCAAGGAACTCTTGAAAAAGAACGTTTCATTCATCAATGTCAAGCTTGTGCTTGGAAAATTCCCTACTGGACTGGATGCATTATATGCCAGAATCCTCGAGGGAGTTTTGAAATTGGGTGAAGAAGATCAACAAAAGGCCTTTTCAGTCTTCCGTGCAGTTGGTATCGCTTTCAGACCTCTCAGTCTTCGCGAACTTGCTGTCATGGCAGCTTTCCCTGCAGCAGCCATGGACGATGAAGACATTGTTTTGGATGCTGTGGAATTATGTGGATCATTCTTATCATTACACCGCGATCACCCATACTTTGTCCACCGCTCCGCAAAGGAATATCTCCTCAACCACGAAACAGCCGGTATCTTCTCCTCGGATCTCGAGTTTGAACACGAAAAGGCAGCTTTCAGAGCTCTCAAATACACAACCAGAGATTGGAAGTATTATCTCGAAAGTCTCGAAGATGTTCCACTCTCTTCGTTGCAAGATCAACCTTCCTCGGAGGATAGTCTTCAATATCCTCTCATCTACTGGATCAACCACAGCAACATTGCCGGATCCCGCATGATGAAATCTTACGCCCTCGACCGTCATTTCTTCCGTCGCAACTGCGATCTCCGCCGTACCTGGCTCCTCTACTTCAAAAAGCACCGCCACATGACCAACTTCTCCGCCATCCAAAATGTTCATTTCTCCGCCCTTCACATCTCAGCTGTATGCAACACCTGGTGGGTTGCCGAGATCCTTCTCAAGAACAGCAGCACCTACATCGACGTTGAAGACTCCTTCGGACTCACTGCTCTCCACTGGGCCGTGCACTGTGGAAACACCTCAGTCGCCAAGATCCTCCTCCAGAAAGGCGCCGACCCCAACCACAAAGGCGGAACCACCGATTACCAAAATGGACCTCGCGAAGGCACACCGCTCGGTCTTGCCATCTCCTACAACAACCTCGACATGTCGAAATTACTCCTTGCTCACGGTGCCGATATCGACTGTCCAGATCATCACTTCACCACCCCGCTCGTGTGGACCATCCGCAAGAATCTCCCCAAATCGACAAAATTTCTTCTGCAGCGAGGCGCAGATCCCATCCTCAGAGATGAGGAGGGCAAGACTCCACTACACGATGCGTGTGCGAGGGGCCATGAGAATATCGCCAAGATCCTCCTCAATCACGGTGCCGCCCCCGATGCAAAAGATGATAGGGATGTAAGTCCCGCTGGGGATGCGTGGAACGGGGGACACAAGGGATGCATCAAATTGTTAGATGCATATGGAGTAAAGACTCCAGAGGCGGATATGGAAGAGGAGAGTAAATGGGGAAAAGGGGGTGATCTACTGGCTGCGTAGATGAGGAGATGAATTCATACATACACGTGTGCGGGAAAGGATAAATAAAATGCATCAAAGGAAGTAACGGATCGGATGGGTTATGGATAGTATTTAAGGGACTTGGGTTTTTTGCGAAAGATACCATATAGAATTACATTTGAATCCCGGATTCGGGACAAATATCATATCGTTAGATGATTAGATTAGATTAGATTTGTTTTTTTTGGGATTAGATTGAATAAATTTGTAGATACCATATATAAATGTCCGCTTGTTCTGATGTGAAAGATGAATCAATCTTTATCCTATTAGTTACCTATTTCTTACTCTTGATGGTAGTGTAGGTGGTGTATATATCATGCAAGACAGATGAGCGAGTGTTCATCGAGATAAACAGGAGTTTGTTCATCTCCATTGTAGTGTGTACAATAAAGTCACTTCCCGATACTCACTGACACCTCGATTATGCGAAGTCGCTTATGAGAATGACTATCGATTGTTTCTTTAGGATATAGGATCTTTCACACCTAGAGTGGAGGCGGGAGATAGACGGGTTGATATGATCAAGACACGATTGGTTTGAGTTCTATTTATATATTTATGATTATAATTATTTATATACCTCCTGTCTCATTTCCTTTTGTGAAGTATTGTCATGGAATAGGTACCTGGGTACCTAGTACACTAGATACCCAACACCACTAGCACCCGACGATCAAGTCCTCTCGTTCATTTATCCCTCTTTCATTCTCGCATTCGAATCCCCCCTCGAAAATTCGTGTCTCCGTACCATCACTCGTCTCGCCATCACTACCCACTCCTCTTGTCACCTTCCAACCGTCATCAATTTATTTTACTTCCCGCTCAATCTCCATCTCATATCATCCCATCCCATCCCATCCCATCCCATCCCATCTCAAGAAACTCCAGCAAAATTATTTATTTCCCCACATCCATATCCGCATCAATATCCGTATCCTCTCCCCCGCGTCCCCCTCCCCCCCAACCAAGCCAATCCCCACTTCATCTTTACTTCGCGCCCCCCTTCCCGTCTCCTTTTCCGCCGTTCGAGATATTTACCTCCATTTTCCACTCCTGCAATATCGGAACTTTCCTCTGAATCGATATCATGATTGTCGAATGATGACGAGGATGACGAGGATGAGGAAGATGCACTTCCCACACTATCTACATCCGGATACATACAGCTAGGACACGGACACTCTTCATCTTTTTCCCCTTGGGATACCTCAGTGAGGAGTTCTCGTTCGTGTTCTTGTTCACTGGGGTCATTGCGCTTAGATTTAGATTTTGATCGATCTTTTCGAGGATATCTGGGCTGTTTGGAGCGAGATTTGGAGGATGCGAGTGCTGAGTAGGGAGGTAGAGACGAGGATGGATGGGAGAGGGAGATGAAAGAGAATGAGCGTGTTGTAAAGGCCATGATGAGTTGTGTTATGCTCGATTAGATGGGGTTGGTGTTGTATGTTTATGTGTGATGTAGGTAAGAAATGGAAAGGTGATATTTCCGATGAAGAAGTATGTATATGTATCTCTTGCCATAAAATTGTGAAAAGAATGCATCAAAATATGGAACTTTGGCGATGACGATATATATCTTCAGTAAATAAATAGAGCGGAAGTGAGATGAGATGTCAATATATATTGAACATTACGAAAGGGAATACAGATTATTAATTCCCCTCTCATCCCCGCCCCCCTAAAACCCCAATCTACGAGATCAATACTTCAACAGAAGAACAAAAAAACGATATTCGACACGAGACACGTACAAACAAACAAACATACATACATTCAGCTTCCGAAAAACCATCCAAATCTCCATCCATCCCCCCGGTAAGTAAGACGCAATCCGAAAATGTACTTTTGAGTCTTAACTCCTATCGGAATTGAGTCTGAGTTCTCAATCCATTATGCATGCATACATGTATCATGTATTATGTATATGTATGTATACATACACTCAATTTAATAACGTGTTTTCAAAACCTTAAATTTCAGTGTTTTATTAAAAACATCTAAACATTAGATTTTCCAATTTCAATTTATAATACCTTTACTAATTGTTTTTCAATTTAATTAAAAACTTGATTAAATAATAGAAAATAATGAATCATATTATTTATATAATTTTTGATTATTTCAAATCGATATTAATCGAATTAGAAATTTCAAAACAAAAATTCGAAAACGATCAAAAATAACTTGAAAATATATTAATTTTCAATCTTAAAATCGAATTTATATTCTATCTATCTCCAATTCCACAATCATTACTTTAATATATCTATAAAACTATATATCGATTTCTTTAATTGAAATATTAATTATTCTAAAGAATTTATTCAATTTGAAAATATATTAATAAATCCAGAAATGATTGAAGTTAAATTTCAAAATTGATGAGGTATAAAAAATCGCTTATTTTTTTGGAAACACGTTATTAAATTGAGTGTACTGTATACGAATTCAAGTCCCCTCCTTTCTAAGCGATCACATTTAGTATCATATCATATATGCATCGATATCGCAGGTACTCATAACTGTAGTGATTTCCCTCTACCGACAAATTATTCAGTTTCGTACACATCCTTCTCTCCTTCCTTCATTCTCCCTTCCTATCCACCAAAACACAGCTTATCATCCTCCATCACTATATTCCTCATCATCCATCTAGCCATCTTCCTCTCATCATTGTCCATCTCGAGAAAATATAGATACTTACACAAACCAACCAACCAACCAACCAACTCACCAAAAAAAAACAATCACATATCTCGAAACTCCCACGCGCATGCAAGAAAGAAAATCAGTCGGCGATGTGTGTTTTTCTTCTCGTCCTCGGAAATATATCGAAAATAGATAGATAGATAGGTAGTGTAGTGTAGTTATGTGGTGCTATGTGGTGCTATGCTACAGTACGTATGGCATGAACGTGGCGGTGAAAACAAAAGAAACGGCCGAGATGACTTTTAGGAGTTGTGTAACGGGACTATTGTTTGTGTGATGTGCGATGTGTGATGTGTGGTGAATGGAAGGGGGGTGATGGCGATATCGGAGTGAGGGAGGAAGAGGAAGAGGAAGAGGAAGGAAAAAGGAAGGAAAAAGGAATAGGAATCTGCGCGTTGAGGTTTGCATTTCTTTTGAGATGGTTGGTGCGGAAATGTATTGATACATTCATTGTAAGATTACTACAGTAGTATGCTAGATAAATACATTCTGCATACCTATACATATATACTACTCCCCTCATCTAACTCACAATCACAATCACAATCGTCCCCTTGGCCTCCATCACATCACATCACATCACATAACATCACCCCCTAACCTGCCCACCCACCAGACTTCAAACAATAACCCCCTCTCTTCACCTCTCACCTCCCACCTCTCACCTCCCACCTCATACTCCCTTCCATCCGCCTATCCATTCAGACAAAGCAAAGCAAAGTAAAGCAAAGCACATGCACAATTTTCATTCCTTTTTCCGCTCGTAGCTATACTTCAACCCGCCTCGTGTTTCGATGGCTACCCGCATATCTGCTTTCGCTTATATACATCTGTACATACCACGCGAGACGAGGTGAACTTATATATTTATTTTTATATTTACATATATGTGTATACTCTATATCTCAAAACCATAAGAATCGATAAATAACACTAAAATAAGAACTAGAGTATTTTCCAAGAGAAAGGGGGAAGAGAGGATAGAAGGAAAGAAGAATGTTAGATTAGATTGAGATGTAAATTCATGGAGGGAAGATATGGGATGGAGATGAGGAATCTAATTACTTGAGAAACTATAATATCACATCATATCACACTATCAAATCCGCCCAGATTAAAGATACAAGAAATATGTAGTTTCGCTAAGCTCTGACTGTCGCTCATGATTCAACCTATTCAAGAACACTGACCTCTAATTTCATTTGCATGATACATATGTATATATGATATAATCATTAAATGCTCTTCATTAATCAATTCCGTCATGCTAAAAAAAAAAACGCTATGTCATGCTAAGTCATGTCATGCCATCTGATCATATAATGACCTATGCTCCATACACCCATCCAAATATGTACCATGCTCCAAGCTCCATACACCCCCAATTAACTCAAATCAATACAAATCCATCGTTCTTCCTCCATTTCCCTACTACATTCCTTGATCATTACTCGCTACTCCCTATCATCACCAAACAAATACCCCGCCTCCAAGCAATATGCTCCACCGTTAGCCATTCCTTTCTCACTTCCCCAACAGACAACCGTCGCATCCACAACTCCACTGAGTACCCCCTCCATAGCCCCAAGCACACCCCAGCCGATGAATCCAGCAACAAGTCCCACAACATATGCATATGCGCTTCCTTTGAGACCAGGACCTTCAGGCATACTGATGGACAATTGACGAGCAGTTGCTACCCAACCACCGAAACCAAGGGCCATGGACATAATGATACGGGTTGCATGAAGAAGCAGTTTAGCTAGACGATAAGGCAGTAAAGGTGTTGTGGCATGAGTTCGAGAAGAGAAGGATCGTGGGGTTAACGTAGTTGTAGGAGCTTGAGGTGTGAGGAATGTCATTTGACTTAGACCTCTTGCGGAAGTTTGAAGAGGTTGTGAGTGGATAGCAGCATAGGTGAGGGTAAGAGGATTGAGCAATGCTGTCACTGGTGCTGGTACAAAAGAGTACGCAATTATCGAAATAGCCGCCACCAATCGTCGTGGAAACACGAGGAGAGGAAGCTTAATCAAGAGAGCTATTAATGATGATAGACATATGGTACCGAATATCGTATTCGTCGAGTGATAAAATGCTGCCGCAACAACTTCTCGAGATGAAGCTCCTGTCTGCGCATTACGGTGATAATACCATTGAGAAACTGTTGCAGCAGTGGTAGTTCGCTGGATACCCCCAATCACGGAAAGAGTCCAGATGTACATCATCACGAAATATACACCAAGCCACCATGTCGTTGCATCAATAATGAAACTCAGCCCTGACTTCGAGAGATGGCCACCCAAAAATACCCTCGTAAACATTCCTAACCATATCCAGGTCCATACTATAACCGACCCCAGCGTAGCGAATCCCAAAGCGAGCAGACCAGGATTCGAAGCAAGAATCCTTGACGCAAACTCTAGAATGCTGATTGCTTTGGTCAATGATTGACGTCCTTTATAAATAGTGTATAGCCAAAGCAAAGCAAGAGCTCCAGGTATAAACGACATCCATCTCATAGCCCTATCTTGTACACCAGTTCGATCGGTTGACCCTTTCATACTAGACACCATAGGATACAGTGAGAACGAAAACAGTATGACTGGTACCGCGAGAACAATCAGGAATACCAATGGACGAACGAAAGACCGCAGTAACGCAAGCCAGATGAATGATACAATTATTGATGCCAGGGTATCGACTGCGAATAGATGGAATGAAGAATGGAGGGTGGTATATATCGTGTCTCCGAGCACTCCGTCAGGCGTTGATGTGTGGAGAAAGATTAGGAAGAAAGTTGCGAAGAGTGAAGCCAAGCATATCAAAAATAATGACCCCCAAAACATGTCATGCTTTGGCCCTTCCAGCTCGTCTGGAGTTGTAGGAATTGCTACTGGAACAACCTCCACTTCATTCGGTCGTAGGGGGAATCGAGGACCAGGTAATTGTTGCGACTCGACATCCCTCTCGTTGCCTCTGATGGATTCATCTGTAAATCGGGTTGTGCCAGATTTTGGCCCAGATTTGAATTGTTGGAATGCTGGTGGATTATCATCACCCATATCATAATCCGGTTCACTTGGCGGTAAGCTGTCGGCAATCGTAGATTCTAGTCCAATATCGACCATTCTTCCTTTTCCTTTACTACTACTTCCCTGACTGCTTGGTCGCCTACTTTCGTCATCATGTTCTTCCCCAACTGTTTCCGGTGTATGGCCTCGCTCTCTTGTACTTCGGATACCGCCCTTCCAACTACTTTTAATTCCTCGTGGACGTTCCCGATGATCACCTGCGATTCCATCATCTTTACTATTCCCCAGAACTATATCACTCCCGTCGCGCTCTGTTTCCTCGCTTTCTTCCAGTTCTCTCGTAGGTGCAAAAACCCTCCGTGATCGTTGAAGCGCAAAGAAATCTGCAGTCTCCCTCTCTCGCTCCTCCTCCTCATCTTCTTCCTGAAAATCATTCAAAGCGCTGTGAAATAACGGGGCATCAGGCGGAGCTTGGGAATATCGAGATGTAAATCCAAAGTTTGGGAGATGTGATGACTGATAAGGATTTCCTAGTCCTCTTTGATGCCTGGAACTTCGTAAAGGCTGCGACCGTTGATAACGTTCATTTGGACTTCGAGTTGGGATTTCGTTATCCTGTTGGACGAAATTGGAGAATCGAGACTGTGACTGAGCTAAGAAG